GTGTGTTTTGCGAGCGTATTTTCTAAAGCTTTTCTTTTTCATTGTCCAACGTCATTGTCAGGAGGATGGCTTTTGTTTCAGTTGTCTGTAGTTGGTTGTCGTTGGTCATGTTGGAATCTATGAGCAATGTCGTCGTACGTGTGCTGAGATATAATAACGTTGCTGCGATTATATAAAACAGGATATAAAAGAGACAGGCAGACGCCAGTGGCAAAATTTAAGTTTTAAAATTCAAACTTTGCTCATCAAAGTTTTTTTTTTTTTAATTTTTTTTTTTCAAGCTTTAAATATAAGACTTTTAATGAGAAACAAGAAATTTTTTTAATACAATTAAAACAGAAACACACGCCTTTGGTGATTTGTGCATGGGTCGTTAGATGATTAATTTAATGTGAGTTTTCGATTTTCAATCTGCCTTTACACTTTAAAGGTCATAGCAAGGTAAGTGTAAACTATTAATGAATTCAGTTCGAGCTAGGAAATTTTGGTAAGTCACCAAATTCCCGGCTTTAACCGTATTAACCGCTTTCTTCTAGTGAAATATATGTATGTATATCCCACAAAAAGTCAAGTCGGAATTTTAATGCTGTCACTCCCTAGGATTGTTCTATACCGAAAAGCATAAAGCCCTGTTTTTTATTTTGAATTCAAAAACCATTTAGGAGTCGTACAAAGCGCTTTAAATTTTTCATGTATTTCGAAACTCTCAGCGGAGGTTGGGGTTCCGATTCATCTTCCTGATTGACGCTATAGCCACCTAAGCCATTGTAGCCGAGGCCAATAAATCGCGGCAGTCGTTTCTTTTACTTGCCAACTAGCCTAGCGTTTTCTCGTGAGGCCCTAACTTAAGCTGCTCGTGTCGATTTTCAAACTACTATTGTGCCTACCAGGTAGAGTTTTCTTCTACACATTTTGGAGGCTATAAATGAACTCGGAACTGAAAGAATTGGTACAGTTTTTTCGTATTCAAAAAACAAAGAGCCGCTGAATTTGGGAATGTGTGGTCCGGCACTATTAACTGTAGCTGATTTCTACAGTGGATTATAAAGGTAAACTGTATGGAAATAGGAGCCCAACCAAGCAGGTTTTCCAGGAAACGAACGCATTGTTTAATTTTTGCCACAAGCGAACTGCTTTTGAAAAAATTTGTTTGTACTCAACTCTAGTAGAAGATCGAAACCTTTTTCGAAGCATATATTATCCTAAAAGCACTATATCTTACACCATCAGAGCTCAGAGAACTCTTAGTTTAATAGGTAAGCATACAGAATGGCTTTCAGAATCAGCTGTTACGCTTGTCGCTAGCTTGTTTTTCTGTGTGCTGAACGTTAACCTTAGTATTCGAGTTTTGATATCCCATCACCCTTATCTACTTTTAAAAGTATCTTTTTGGTTGGTTGTGCTTTCAAAAATCGTTGTCCTAAACCAAATCTGAAAAGAGATTGCAAACTTTTTTTTCATAATATACTTATAGAAAATCGCATTGCCTACTAATTGTTAACTAAAATTATATTCCGAGTTTTGGCAATTTTTCTTTGTTAAATATTTTAAAAAATTCTTAACTCACAACTATAAACGAAACCACTCAAACAAAAGCTCTTGGCATTTAATTAATCAAAGTGACTTGTCAAATGTAAATTTACACAATCTTTTACAATAGTGACAAAGAAAACGAATTACTATTGTAATTAGACTTGCAATAATCCAAATTTTTGTTGTACAAAAGTCAGCAAATATTGAAAGATTGATTGAGCTAAGCAGAAATGAATATTAGTACAATCACTACACACAAAGTTGCAGGACATATCAAACTAAAACACTTTAAAGCAATATACAATTAATGTACGAGTCTATGCAGGTCACGAAACGAGTAGAAGCAAAGGAAAGGAAGGAAATTATTGCAATGCAGATATTGGAAGGGAGTTTTTTCAACGAGGAGGAAGCATCGGAAATTTAACTCCTTCAGTGTGGAACTTTAACCCCAGCGAAACCCCCTGCCGTCGCAGTAGCGATTACCGCCCGCACTACCGTCAAGTATTTCGTCGTGTGGCGGTTTGATCAGTGGGCTATTTTACTGTCCTAATGGAATCTACTTGTTAGCACTCACTGTTGGTATCATTTCAGGGCGAAGCCAAGGCCATCTTCTGCCTTGTTCATTAGCCTTCTGAAACGGGGGCATACGAGAAGTACCTGTTCCGCATCTTCAGCTATGTTGGTTTGCATTGCCCGCAAGATGGGGTCTCTTCATGACCAAAGCAATGAAAGTACGTTTTAAAACAGCCGGGTCCACCAGCCCCTTGTTGCATTATCCCGCCGTGAATGACGCTGTGCTGCCCTACTATTTTTCTGTGGGCGCTGATATCGCTTTGATAATGATTGCACTATACGATTCATGCTTCACACAACTCTTGAGCTATCAGGTCGGCTGAAAATGGATGGTCTCAGTGGCGAGTTTAACAACTCCAATTAGCACACATAGGCCAGCTATGATGAATTCAGAGCAAACTCTAGAAGTACACAAGCGGTACGTGGAGTTTGCACTCCAGCCGGAACCCGTCTGGCCAGCTGCCTGAGTCCATCAAAGTGTGTCATTATTCTAGCCAGGGCTTCCTCTGCAATCGCAGCTTTTTTAATAGAATGCTCTAAGTAATCACGGAAAATAAGCGGATGATCCACCAATACCCCTAAGTGCTTCACGCATGGCTTGGGCTTTATGTTGCAGTCACCAGCTCGGATGACCACTTTCTCAATATTCTTAGACCCACGATAGTCGGGTCTACGTAACCGGAACGACCCAGATTTATATTTGGCCAAGGACTGTCACTCCAGCAACACACCCCAAAAACTCTTTGGGGAACTTGTATGCTGCTACAACAACAACAACAACCACTTTCTCCACCTTTTAACGGCGATTTATGAGTACGACTACCGTGTTATGGGCAAGCCTCTGCTATAGCATGCTCCGCACTAACTACCACCTCCGTGTGCGTTTTGCGGTCACAACGTTTGATACTATACAAGAGGTGACCTAACGCGGATCCCTGTGGCACACCAACTGTGACTCTTTTTAGTAGAGATGCTGCGTTGAATTTAAATTGACTTGGTAGTATTCTTTGGTGCCACCTAACTATCCTGGGCCGCTTGCCATCATCTATAGCCTTTTCGGTTTTTACTTGTGCGACCTCGATCGTGTCGGTGATAGATAATTTTTTCATAGAGCCGAGCTAGTCGCTTGACAGATTTCTACTTGGGTTTCCAACTGGTTTTTAATGAAAAGCTTAAACAGCTTTCCGGTGAGGTCCAGCATGCACAATGTGCGATATCCAGTGGGAGAACAATTACCTTGATATTTTGGTATAAGAAGCAATTTAAGCAGCTTCCAGCTGTTGGAAAAAACGTCTCCTCGCAGGTAGACATCAAAATCGCTCGCAAATATGCACAGATTTTGTGGAACTCCGTCTGTTACTAGCGAGGAGATAATTTTCAGCTTGCCGCCGAGGTTATCGTTGGTTAACTGGTTCGTTGGAAGAACGTATCGAAGTACATACATTTGTTGCAATTGATATCGAATGATTTAAATCAGTAAACATTGGATGTAGAAAATATTGCAGAAAGGATATTCAATGATTGCAGACTTGTTTGCATTGTTTAAGTTATTCTTGTATTTGTCGTATTTTTTTTTTTTAATTTTCTCCCCACAAAAAGTACTTGAAAGCATTGTGCGGCATAATCAATGCAATGCAAGGACTTGGCTATCAGGTATGCATTTACACATACAGAATCAAATTTACATATCAAAAGCATGCAGTCAAACCAAATATGCACATACATACACTCACCACATGCACACACAAACACATACATATCTGCACACATCAATAATGTGTAGCTAAGCAAATGTGAGTATCAAAGAATTTGCGCAAATACAGGACGTCTCAGTTTGTTTGTTTACATTTTCGTTTGCAACCGCAGCATGCAGGAAAGCTGAAATGTCAATTTGCTGTCAACAAGCGACAATATTGCACATTGAACACACACATATATATGTATATGTATATACACATAGAAAAGTATGCAAAAGAAGAGCTTAAAACAATAGCAGTTGTGCAAAGAATCAAATATTCTACGTAAAGCAACAGCAAATACATATACAACGAAAGATTACCCATACGCCTGGTTGGTTGGCCCCATCTACATTTTGTACATACACACATGCCACATGATGCCTCATGTTTTAAGGTACATACTACTTGCAACATGCAATGACAGTTTATTTAGAGTGTGGTACTATTGCCAACATGCCTGTGAAGGGTAGGGGCAAGATGCTGCACAAAAAATCAATCTGCGAGTGGCACCTAAGTTTTGTATAGTTGCGAGCCTTATCATCATTTTGTAATGCATATGTATGTATGTATGTATTGATAGTCAGTGAAATGCTAAATCCACCCCTGTAAACCGACTAGTTGCGTAACTGTCAACTCCGACAGCCAAGTAGCAATCAGAGCGCTACTAATGCTTGTGATGTTATCGAAACTGGCCGAGGAATGTCTGTCCACTCTCCCGGTCTGATTTGGTTTTCATGTCACAGGCTAATGAATGGGCTTCGCAGACGACCGTTAAGTTAATCTATTATAACAGAAAGGATGTAAGAGTCCTTTGAGCAAGCTGTGGGAAGCTTGCGGGCTTTCAGTCGGCTCAGCGAGCGTTGTGCGAAATCCGCGAATGTAAATTTGCAAATTCTCTCAGAATGATCGTCGACCGCGGAGGTTTTGAGTTGGCTTCTCCAGCTAGCTAACGACCAACTGTTGATTCCGAAAGAAGTCTTGACCGGAATCTTGCCGACGATAATGTAAAGCTCAGCGCACCTAAATAACTTAATCCGGCATTCGATCGAACCACCTTTTTTTCCATTTTTATTGTAATTTCTATTATTTTTTCCATAGAAAAAGTATACGCATTCTTTAACTCATACTATTTTCTTATCTATTTTTATCTTTTAGTTTCTTTCGATGATGACTGCAGTCAGGTGCAATGTCCTGTGGAAACTAGCCTCTGCCCGCCAGATAGCGTGGAGCGACACCCAGCGCCCATTGTCGATGTACTGTATGGTCCTGATGAATTTTTGCCACCACATGAGTTCTACGATGATGATGTCAATCCAGCTGATGTAATTGACCATCAATACGATGAACTGCCGTTGCACGTGAGTGCTGTTATGGCGCCAACTAATGCCAGCACAGCCACAGCTACAACCTCGCCTACAACTACAACGTCAACTCAGTCCGCGGACAGTTTGGGTACAGAGCTTTTAGAGCCCAAAAAGGAATTTAAACGTGAACTGGTATTTGACAACGCAAATATGGATGATCTTGATGAGCACGAGCGTCTGTTGGGAATATGTTGTGTCGGTGTAGCGGAAGAAAATCGGCGACGCCGACGAAGGCTTCGCCGTTCCAGTGTAGCGAGTGATTGCGAATGTAAACCCTGTGAGGCGATACCACAATGCTCCACAGGTGAAGTGGCTATTAGGGTACACGAAGCTGCTGGTTCCCCAGGTGATTGCTGTCCGCGATATGCTTGCGAACCGAAACCGGTATGCGCTGATACGACCGTTGTTCAGGCTTACTGGCAAAACGCTTGTACACGCTGCAGCTGTTACGGTCCGAAAGGTGTAGAGCTCTGTCACAATGAATGCCCCGAAATGGAGCAGCAGGAGACGGAGCGCAGTTGTTACTCCGATAACTTACAGGAACCGCAGTTACATGGCAGCGAGTGGTATGAAAACCATTTTTGTACGAAATGCCGCTGTGACAATGGTGTTCGGGAATGTGTGGAGAGCTTATGTAAGCCGGTGGGCTGCAGTAATCCGATAAAAGTAGAGGGACAGTGTTGTCCACAGTGTCCCACAGGTGTGGAGGATATTTTGGTTGTCCATGAGAACTCAACAAATTCCACTAGTCGGGAGCAGAGGCTGCTGAAAGAAACGACTACAGTGTCTTCTACGGTGGGAAGGGCATCACCGGAGACAATTACTGCATCTACTTTGCCTTCTACCGAGACTTCAACCACAGTTAAGGCTTCTACTGAATCTTCAACATTACTCATTGGTTTTCATAGTGAATCTACAAGTACTAGTCGAACAACCGAAGCCTCTTCTAGCAGCACCGAAATTTGGTCTAGTACTAGAAATATTGACGACATTGCAGCTGACGGCTATTTTGGCCTTAGGAGCAATTTCACATTTGAAGGCAGTGGTTCAACGACTCAGGAAACAATAGACGATCTTTCTGAAAGCTTCTCAGCATCTGTATTGGCTGCGCAGAGCTACAATTCTTCGCCTACAATGCCAAGCCAAACGGAGTTCACGGAACCATCATCGACAACCGCTAAAGTAAGCACAGCTAGTCAACCTACCTACACTGAAAGTTCCAATGAGGAGTCCTCGACCCAGAGTACACAGAGCACAAAAGACCTCATCATGACTTCCAGCACTTCAATGTTTGACAGCACAACACCAGTGTCAGCTGGGGTACTTGAGGAAAGTGAGTCTTCCACGGAGTCATCAACTGAAACTCCAGCTGCCAGTAGCCCTGCCGAGTCCACCACGCTCACCAACTCCAGCGACATAAGTACATCGCACCTAGCATCCACCACAATTAGTTCCACAACTGGGTCTAGTTCCACAACATCGTCTGGTTCGTCTCCGACAACTACGCCCACTACAACTACCTCAACTACTTCTACAACAGTTTCCTTAGCAAGTTCCCCACACACTTTAAGTTCCACTACCAGTACACCATACTCTTACACAGCAAGCCCATCGGCAACGCCTTCAACACCTACAACCAGCTCACCCTACTCCAGCACCGTTTCCACGCAACCTGCTACAACTTTTGTTTATTGGTATACCTTCTCCACATCTGCACCCTCGCCACCCATACCGCAGCCAACTGTCTACCAACCCAGCGTGCGTACATTCTTTACACGCCCCGAGGTGCGCTACATTGGCGCTACAGTCGTCGTGGCTTTTCTTGCCATTTGTGCGCTAGCGGTATGGAAATTTTGTATGCCTACGCGCAGCGTTAGACTAAAGAATCGATATAGGACAGTACCCAGCTCCGAGGCGACCAGCTTGAGTCATAGTCCAACCACGTCACACTCTTCTATGGCATAGTTGAGAAGGTTATGTAAGCTGCAAGATTCGTCAGTAGGTGAGAGCTGAAGCGAGATTAATTGGAGGGTGGTGCTCATGCAGTTCAGCAGTGTGCACTGGCTCTTATTATGTGTATATTTAAAGGTTTTTAGTCAAGTTTAACTAATAAATTTTGTTGCTAGTGACATTTTCATGGTAGGCGCGGGGAAAAGAGGGATTTCTTTTATGAAAAAAAAAAATACAAATTTATAAAATATGACTTTCTATATTAGACTCAGGGGATTTTTTTTAGCTGAATTTCGTAAAGCAGTTTTTTAACACTGACTTTAGAGAATTTGGTAGTGGGATTATTATATTATCGCTCCTTCCTCTACCAAACAGTTAAACCCAGCTCCACCTGGTTTGCTATTTAGCTACCAGTACTATAAGCTGTATCTGCTAAGAAATTATGCACACCAAACTTAAAGATAAATTTAATTTGGGGTTAGAAATGTGAAATAACTTTCTGAAATCTCATTCCGCAAAGTTATCTTTCTTTACAAACTTTAAGTCATAAGTTAGCCATCACAATTAAAAGGCTGGAACTTTTTAATTTATTTACCTCATCGAGTTGAAAAATGGTTCAAGTTCATGCAGTATTTTCTGGGACTAGTACCCAACTCCGTATAAGTATTAACCGAAGAGTGAAGTGTTGTGGGTTTAGTGTAGGTAGGGGTAACAACTTTTGCTTAATACTTCTTTGGCAAGTCTTCATTGTAAAAAATTGGTTTTGAGTCCTTTTAAGCACCTCACTGCGTAGGCAACCCGTTCTCGGTGAAATGATACGTAGAAGCTTTAAAACGATCCTTACCGATGCCTATTTAAATTAAAATAGTCTTGACTTAGTGAGCAAGCGCTTCTTGAACCGGTCACACAATATCGTAAAAATATATTTTAGAAATCTCCCCAAGAATTTGGAGGTATATAAAATGTTTTCTTTGCAAAGAGGGTTGGATATACCCAAAAGCTTGAAATTGTTGAAAGACAAATGGAAGCCGAGCGATCTTTAGTCAGCCAGACCTTCTAGTGTAGATCCTCGATATTGTAAGGGAAATATTGACCATGTTTATAAACATCTAGAAATCGAAGCCACGCAATGAGGCTTTCTCCTCTCGAAAGCTTTTCTCCATTGAAAAGCTTTACAAACCTAATATTTATAACGTTTACTAGGTTTTCCTAACCTATCATCTTGAACGGCTCGAACTCCAAAAGGTCATTGCCTAATGAGCATAAATTCACACGAAGTGGACTTTCCGGCTTATGATTACTGGCTTAGTGGTCGGGTGTATGAGGAAATCGAAAGCATCGCACTCTTTCTCGTTTTTTCCAGCTTTGGATAGACTCGATTCGGCAGCCTAACCACCAATGCTCGTCTCGCGCCCTAAGTGGGTCTGGTCTAAGTGTGTATAAGATTTAAGTTAACCTAACTTTGCGTATCGAGTATAGGCAAAGTGGTATCACGACCCTGGTGTTAATTTTTCTGGAATCTAAGTGAGGACATCACTTAATTTTTGGCTTCACCTATGTAGCTTAATGTAGTAGCTTAATGTTTGGCAAGACCGAACAGATTTTTGATTCTCTCTAAAATAGACTTCAAACCTCTTCGACTCCTTTAGTCTAATTGATGTCTTTCTTGAAGGGTTAACTGAATTTATCACAATACCGCGATATTTTAAAGATAAACTAAACAAAAAGGAGGGTACTTCTTTTTCTTTTTCGATCCAAAAATTGATACTTTGTCGAGCTTAAAATCTCGAATAGAGCAGTCCATAGACCCTATTAGCATTATGCGAGGTAAATTTTTTTCTTTCCTTAACTATCGTAATTCAATAAAGGACAACTCATAGTTTTACTAAAAAATCTTTAATGTTTTTTCCAATAATTTTGGGTTCGTCCATTACCCTTAACGAGGTCACTTCAACCATAAAATCGTAACTCACGCATTTTATCCTTGCCAAATCCGCAACCAGTATTCCACAACCTGTACCAGCAGAGTTCTGAAGCTTTTCCACAAAATTATTCATAGCCTCAAACCCTTTATTTCCCCTTCGTGACGATGGACTCAAAACTCTGAAAATGTCACTCAGCTCTGCAACAAATTTTAGTTGAGAACAAAAACAAATGATTACAACTAAAGCAAACAAAATTATAATTCTCATTTTAAATCTTAATTTAAACTATTTTGATTACTTTGAAATTACACAATATTTTGCTATTGTATATTATCTTTTATTATTTTTTTTATTATTTTATGTATAATTTTTAAACTCAATTGTGTATTATATTTGTATGTATTAATAAAAACCAATAAGCGGAAATCAATATTTGCTGCGTTAATTAGCAATGATAATTTTATTAATAAATAAATGATAAATTTTGTAGGCGTTTACGTGTGTCACCCTTCATCAACGCGTGTATTTTGCTCGCGTTTATTTTTTTTTTTTTCTTTACTCATTATTTGCGCAATTGGCAATTGTCAATTTTTATTGGCAATTAAAACCGCATTAAAAATATTTACATACATACATGCAGATAAAGATTTTTTTTTCGTTTTAATCTTTTCATTCATTTCCTGACACAAATTGATTGCCTGCTGTATTTTGTTTAATTTTTATATTTTTATTTTGTGTTATACTATGCACTGCAACAACGCCTACATTATTTAGTAACGCACACATTTCAGAAGACATTACAATATTTCTGATTTATTTAATTGACATATATATATAAACATACGAGGTGTTTATTTTTTTATTATTTTATAAAAAAATATATGTAAAATGTGATAGGACAATGTTCCAGAAACAGTTTGTTTTTTAAGAATACAGACATGCATGCATAAATATGTATGTATATAAATATTTACACATGTAAAATGTTGATTTGAGCAAAATAATGTGTTTGGTTTAAACGCCAAGTCGTTAAAAATTAAATATGACCTTGAAAGTTTTCTCGGAAACTTTTTCGGTATACAATACTTTGATACTAAGTACTTTTAAGTACATTTCTTTATTTTAATTATTCGTATTCATTTTAAAGAACTATTAATTAAGTGCTAAATCTAAAAGAAATTAGTTTTTATTTAAAAATAATTTAAAATTTTTGTTTGCATTTTTTTTTCCAAATTTACCACCGACTGTGGATGTGACATTTTCCATAGGAAGAAACAAAATTTTAAGTTTTTTGTTTTTTTTTTTTTATTTTATAAAAAACCGCAATAAAAAAGCGTGACATTTATTTATGCAAAAAACAAAAAAAATTCAAAAAAACTTCACCTTTACTGGACGAGTATTTTTAACCAAAAAAGTATTTTCTCGACAACACACACAAACTTATGTACATTCATATTTTCGACGCAAACAAAAAATTATTAAAAAGTCTACAACAAACAATTCACTGCATTTACACAAATTTTTAAATGCCCATAGAGAGAAATTGGTAGCAGAAAAAAATTAAAATTATTGCATATTCATTATCGTAGGCCATGCACGCTTACGATATTAGAACTAAAACGATTTAAAAAAAATATAAACAAAAGGAAATTAGAACAAACGCACGCGCATACGATTTCATTCGACGAAAAAAATTCCTAAAGCACACTTTTAGCAGTAAGGAAATCATACGTTTTTAGCAAAATTGCTTTTAGGTTAGCTTTTACGAAACATAAATAAATAAATAAAATAAGACATATTGTAAACGAAATTAAAGGAAAGGTTCAAGAAAAAATATATTGTACCAAAAGATCTAATAGAAAATTATACAAAATTATGAAAAATTTCAAGGAAATTTTGTTTCATAAAAATAAGTTTTGCTTTCTACAAAAATATTGCGCGCAAACACAAAAACCCATATTTTAGGATACAAAACATTTTTCATAAAATTTTTTTTATAGATACAAAACCCTTTTTTGCCATCAAACTTTTGCTTCGTACAAAATTTCTTATACATTTTTTTTCATAACACTTTTCGTACAAAATTCTTGAGTATTTAATTTTTTTTATCTAAATTATTTTTTCAGTCGCGGAAACAATAAATAAATCTGATAAATTTATTTGAATTTGTAAAAGTGTTCGCCAAACACAAACATTAAAACAATTTTTCCAAACCAAAAAAATTTACAACAAATGCTTTCAAGAAACACACAGAATTTTTTCATGCAAACACAAAGATGTTTTTGATTTCAAAAAAAAAATCATTTATTCGCTACCGTTGAACGAGACTTGTTTCAAATTTCCCATTCTTTATAGGCATATTTCTTACGCAATGTTTTTTTTTTTTTTATGAAACCGCAAATCTAAGGCAAGAAAAATATTTCAGCGAATAATAAATGCGATATAAAATTTTGAAGATGAAATTTATGTTAAAATATTTCTATTTAAATTAATGTTTCCAAAAAAAAATAAAAATTCGCCGACATGTAATGAAAAAAGATGGTTAAATACCAATATAAAAAAATTTCGCAATTCCACAATTTTTTTATATGAATAAAGTTTTATTTGACAAAAAATTTGATTTCACAAAACTTTTTTTTCGAAAAATTTTGGAATAAAATGTAAATTTTTTTTTAATTCTTTTGACAAAATATTTTGAACCACATTTTTACACGCAAATTATTTTCCACCAAAAGTTTTTTACGAAACTTTTTTTCCAAATTTTTTATGTTTGTATTTATACGCACTCAAATAGTTTCCACGACTGTATATTTAGTAAAATTTACTTCTTGTTAATGTAGGTAAGTACATATACTATTTGTAGCTCATAAAATTGTACATTATTAGTTTTAAAAGCACTTAATTTTAAAAAATATATATTGAAATAAGTTCATCAAACCCAAGTCGTTGAGATATTGCGCACAATAAAAAAAATAAATATTAAATGTAAATTTTTAGGTTGGAAAATAGAAAAAACGTATAATTGTAAATTATAAAAAATATATATATTAATTTAAATTATAAGTTTAAGTATTCGAAATTCTCATTTGCTTTCACACTCTCTAAAGTTTTGTACTCTCATTTCGTCAATTTAAGTTATTGTAATTATAAGAAAGTATATGTATATAAATGACTATTAGATGAAATTAATAAAGGAAACGAGTTAATTTAGCAAAAATTAAAGAAACTACATTTTAAAGGTTTTTATAAAAATGCCGGTAAGTAATGACTTGAAAACTTATGGCAACTCCCTTTCTTTTCAATCAAAATAAGTAGGTGTATTTCAAAAAAATACAAACAAAAATTTTAACGAGCTTTATAGTTTTTGAAAGGCTAGCAATTCCTTAACAAACCAAAACATTTCAGAGCCTAAATCAGCGCATATTTTAGAAAACTTTTATAAGCGTGATCAGCTATTTTTGATTTTTATACACACATAATGGCTACAACTAAAAAACCGTTGCGTCGCTCGAGCAAAAAGGAAAATACTAAAGACTTGAAGGAAGCCGAATCGGGTACACCCTTGCGTACGATGGAGAGCATTGTCGATTCGAATCATATATTTTTCTCACAAGATGATTTCGAAAGCTGGTAAGCTAAAAATTCACTTAAACCGTTAAGCCTTTTTTCTGGGACATAATTGTTTCTCGATTGGACCAGCGTTTGGAAAGTTATTGAGTATCTCTGCTTTGGAACATCTTAAGCTCTTTAGAATTCGCTGGTGTGTCCATGAGAAATCCTAGAGGTGTAGCAGACCAATGAATAAAGGTGATGAAGAAAGAGTATTCCACCCTTTATAGGGTGTAGGTTGACAAGTACTCAAGACAAAAAGTAAGTGCGCCTGGGCCACACTGGGGAAGTGAAACTTACGTTACATATCTATTTTGTCTGATAACCAATATACATACATATGTACATATGCTTTTCCTTTAGGTTATATTTTTTGTATTTTTTTACCTAGATCCCTACTTCTACCCCTGTTCCTTCTAATTACATTTATGAATGTTATTCTGTTTTCCTTTATCTTCATTTTTATCTTTATACTCTATCGATATTAACTTCCAACAAAATATCGATAACAAAACATTTTTATTGGATTTGTCGATAACAAAATCGATGACAAATTCGATAAAAATTTCGATAGAAAAATTGATAATAATATTGGTAGCAAAATCGATTAGAACATTGATAAAAATATCGATAACAAAATCGATAAAAACATCGACAAGAAATTCGATAAAAATATCGATAATAAAATCTACAAGAATATCGATAACAAAACCAATAACAATATCGATAAAAAAACAAAATCGTTAAAAATATCGTTTACGGAATCGATAAAAATATCGATAACAAAATCGATAAAAATATCGATAACAATATCGATGAAAAATCGATAACAAAAGCGATAACAACATCGATTATTATATCTATAAGTCCCGAGAATCCCGAAAGCCTCTAAAATCCCAAAATAGTTCACAGATTGAGTCTCTGTGTCTCCATCTATATCCTTTTCTCTATAATTATTTTTTTTTTAATCTTTCTTCCTCTATCTTCATGTTTACTTGTATCGGTATCCTTATCCTCATCTATTTCTTTATATTTATCTTTGTTTTTACTTTTGTGTTTATTCCTTTCTTCATCTACATACATATTCCTCTTCACTTAAGTAAGGTGTTTAAATTTACCTTGGTCTTCATTTTTGCCTTTATCTTTACGCATCTTTTTTTTGTTTTTATTTTTGCCTTTGCCTGTATCCTTTTCTTTATCTATGTACCTACTCCCCTTCACTTTCATTCTTGTACTGGTCTTTTTCCAAGTGTTATTCTGTAACCTTTTATTAGCAAGTTTTTGTTATGTGCATGTGCATACACTCAAGAAGCATTTGCTCCAGCCCCAACCATTTCCGTTGCATCATTTCCGTTGCACCATTTCCGTTGCACCCTTTCCGTTGCACCATTTTCGAGTGCAATTTCCGTTGAATTTGTCAATTTACTCCCAACCAACCAACCCCCGCTAAAGAAGTTTCACTTCAAAAATCTTTGAATGAGCAGTCGACGAAACATCAATTTCTAAGTAACGGCAATTGTCAAGTTCAGCTAGTGAAAATTGGCTGGTAAAGTCGACGGCTCAAGCAGCAGGTCAAACCTTACTACTAACAAATAGGGTTAGTGCCAACGGCTCACAGAAGGCGGTGATAAAGGGAACGTATTTGGGACCTTTTCTTGAGATAAGAGATAACACAATTGTAGAGGCAAGAACGCATCTTTCAAGGCCTCCTTTAAAAGAGCCAAGGAGAAGACCTAGTCTGGTCACTGAGGAAGAAGCACGCCAGTGAGCAAAACGCGAAAACGTAATGGGTTACTTTGCAGTTCGGAGACTTTGAGGAGACTACTACGGCGGAAGACATCTGCAGTGTCCATTCAATATCCGACGACAGGGGATGCGAGCAAGCTACAGTTTGACAAAATTTACATCGAATGCTACTTCCGTCGCTTAAGCTGTACTCTGTGAGCAATGGGTTGGTACTGAATGGGTATCATGTAAAATTACACAGTTGCGGCAAGAGAAACGCTGAGGTCACGGTAACATAGTTCGGTAGGCGAGTGACGACACTGGCTTGGACAACGGCGCTCCAGTGAAAGGCTCCTTCGACTTGGCACCCATGGGCGAACAACGAAAGTAAGGACACCCACGAAGAAAACAGAATGACCAGGTTCAGAAGGACCTGCCTGCACTTGGGATGAGCAACTCGCGCAAATTCGCACAGGAGAGAGGCAATTGGAGAAGCTTTTGAGATCTCGACCCAAACCGACAAATGGTTGTATTGCCAAATATGAAGAAAAATCTAGAATTGAACAAAACTGGTAGTCAGATCAGCACTCTGAGGAAGGTACGGATAGAGTGGGCATATGACTCTGAGCTATAGCCGCATTAAGCACAGACTCTATCACGCTTTCTGTAGATGGCGTGGCACTTAGCAAGAATATGGCTTTTCTGGGACGCAAAAGCGTCATAGGTCAATACACTCCTCCCTTGACCGAGCTTTTCTTTCAAATTATGGGACCATTATTCCCTACATTCCCTTGCAGCCTGGAACACATGTATAGGTACATACAAGCTGGATATCATAGTAGCTCCCGTAGCAATCAATAGCTACGTAAGGGAGTAATCTTGAGTTAGAATTCTCGCATTTCATTAGTTCCATTGAAAAAAATGTCAGTGTTCAGTATAGAGGTGTTCTTGGGGCCAAACTATAGCCACAAAGGTACTCACAGCAAGCTTGCTAAGTGCTTCATATGCTTGACGTTAGAGTGGGATATGAGGCAGGCGGATGAAGCGTCGGAGTGTCTATCGTAGTCTCATAGATCTTGAACCAAAACTTGAAGCTGTGTCTGGTATTCAAAATGAGTTGTGAGTTGTAAACAAAAATTGTTTTTCCCCACAGGTATGAAGAATTATGGTCCGCCTCGGAAACAAAGCAAAAATCTGTAATGCAGTTGTCACGGTAAATATTTTTCCATCACATCGATTTCAGGTAAACACTATTTAGCAAGTGACCCTTAACCTCATTTCAGCACCTCTCTACTCATACTGGACTATTTTCAATTCAAAGCTGCGCGTACAATTCAAAAACACCTTCGACGCTGGTATTATCAACGCATCTATCAGCGTAAACGCAGCGCCGTCATACGCATACAATATGAATGGCGTAAATTCTACAAAGAACGCACGATCTATCTTAAACTGGAACAAGAAACCCAAGAGGCAGCAGAGAAGTTCTACTTTCGACAAGCGCAAAAGATACAAGCACTCTGGCGCGGTTGGTATACACGTCAGTACGTACACGATCACAATCAGCTGCTGAAGTCGCAAGTGCTTACCGCAGAGGATCTCTTGCAATGCGTCGCTTTCAAGTTGCATCATATGTTGCGCACCTATCAAATACCGGGTGTCTACTCATTGAGGAATTCACAGTGAGTTGTTGTATTTAGTATGTAGATGAAATTTGCTTACTATACTTTTTCACACACTTTCAGCTGCCTATCCAAAGTCGAGAAACTACTCGCCGCCATGTCTTTTAAACAACACAACATTTACGTACGTCAATTGCGCACTTATCTGGACAAACGCACCAACAATGCGCGCAAAAAGTTCAAAGACTCTGCTTATAGTACAGTTGTACCATATGCTGGTCCAAATATTCACGGGCACTGTGAACCGAAATCTACTGCCGTTTTTAAGGCTAAAGATATGGATCGTCGCATGTATGAGATATTGAATATGTATGAAGAAGCAGCCAAAGCAGACGTTCAAAAACATCGTAAGCATAGGGATTCAAGGCATATAGAGAAAAGAGGTCGTAAGTATATGTATGTACAAAGAGTGTAATGATTGGTTGAAGTCTTTGACGCTAATTAGCGCTAAGAATTCTTCGTTGAATCCGACAATAAAGCAAACATTTGTTGAATGAGTGAATGCGTCCCAATTTCCACCCGTTGAGTTTGACCCACACTGAAGTAAAGTTTGCCCAAAAGCTGAATGAGGTTATACTCTATTCTACTCATATTCAGAAGAAGTGACAGCGCCCAGTGTCATTTGTAACTGGCGGTTGGTATAGAGGGGTTGATAATGTAATCTTGAGCACATAAAGAGGTAGATAGGCCTGAGTAGAGCTGGTGGGGCCATAGGTTTTCCGTAGGTTGATGGGCCTGTACATATTTCCCTTAATAAAACTCTGAGGCAGGATGCTCCCGTCCGCTCCCAGAATATCCAGAGATGATGTAATCGGTTACCACGAATGAAAGTTGAACTCCTTTGATGTAACAACATCGGATATTAGAGCCAGTAATGCAGCCTGTCTGTTTGAATAGAAAAAGTTTTCCCCTGCAAAATTGAGTATAGTCTAATCCCCCTACCGCTTCAAATCACTGGCCATATCAGTTAAGCGCAATGACGGTGCAATAATTAGGTTCATTGTGCAGGTATCCGTATTTCACAACTTGGATCATGTAGAGTTCGTTCTCCCGTTTACTTGCTTGTAGAGAATTCGACACAACTTGTATCGACATAGATTCCGAAAGAGTGTCTTTTTCGGAACAGCAGCAATTCTGGCTAACCGATTGGCTTCCTTATTCCCTTGGACTCCCATGTGCCCTGATACACACATCAATTGGATAGTATTGTTCTTAGCAAGAGTTCTCTATGCACTCCAGGACCAATGAGAATTTAACCTCGAAGAATGAGAGAACCATAACTGCCGCCTGACTATTACCTAATATAAGGATCGTTTCCCTTCAATAATTCCTACTAAGGTTAATATCTACACACAGACTAATGGCATAGACTTCCGCTTGGAAGATGGTCGGGAAGGGCACTGAAAACTTCATTCTGGGGTCATCTACGCCTGCTCCTTTACCCTCATGGGCCTTAGAGCCATCTGAGTGTCATTGCAGTGTAGTGACGTGTTCCTCCATAATAAATGTACTCCAGGTCGCCTTGTTGTGTATACTAACCTACTCAATGCATATCATCTCTGGGGAACAGAACTAGTGGCTTGGAAACCATCAGTGCTCTTGTAGTCTTGGAGGTGGCGACCTTAACACGAGTTCTCCACAGGAGTCCAGAATAAGACCCAGGGACTTCGATTCTATGACGACATTGACCGCGATCCCTGGTGAAAGGGGCAATGACCGTCTTAGGGGAATAAAAATTTAGGCCTATCTCAGCACGCCACCTTTGTGCTAGATTATGTCCTCTTTGAACGATCTCGCAGAGGGTACTGGCGAACTTCACAGTGATAACCTGCATGAATTCGTCCACAACTAGACCCCACAGGAGAGGAGACAGTGAGCAATCTTTTGTTATTTGAAGCTGAACTACGCCTTCACCGACTTCAGTTTCAGCAATCCTGGTGTCTAGCGGCCTAGCTATCCATCTGCGGATGGGAGGCTGATCTTTGCGTTTTTCAAGTACGCGATCGACGCCCACATAATATGTGTTGTCGAAAGCCCCCTAGGTGTCAATAAAGGCACACAGCGTTGTCTCTCCACACCCTAAGGCTCTTTTTATTTCCTTAGTCAGGGCATACAGTGCGTGCTTTCAGCGTAGAGGAGGTGAGATTTGTCGGCATGTGAGACTTAGCGAAAAAGTAATCCCTCTTACCTACTTTCGGGCTAAAAAGATAACGCGGACCCTTTTCCACACCTCGAGACTTTCGCTCATGATGTTGACACGCTGTGGAAGTAGAATCTTTTCGCACCGTTTTAGCAGCACTGAACTGTTGCTATCCACCCCGGGAGCCTTGTACCGTTCGAAAGAGTTCAACGCCCACCGCACTGGTTATTAAGCCTGACCGATAGCTAGCCTGCTTCCGGTGTTGTCCTTCAGTAAAGCTGAATAAACCTAAGAACTTTACACACAGACTAGGTGTTTGTAAACAATAAAAACTTTGATGGTTCTCTTTTAGTTGATATCGTCTATTTTTCGGGGCTTCGATTCATGGGACGAGATTTTGCTGCTTTAAGAACTTTGTCTCCTCAAATATTTTATTAGGCCTGTTTGACATTAATGTGCTACAAGGTAAGACTGAAAAGGTTTCATTGTTTCCTTTCTCTCTCTTTTATTCTTACCGCTTAAAGGGGCAAATGTCTCTATCGGAAATCTTGAGTTTTTGTATTGAATTTCTTCTGAACTTTTCTTCTCTTTCAACAGAGTCTCCTCGTTCGAAATCAACAGACAAATCAAAGCCTGGACAACGTAAACAAAAGCAACCAGAAAATAAAACCGACTTTTGTGAGGATATTGTGAATAGCATGAAACGTTGGAGCATATTGAAAGACAACAATGTCACAGTAGATCCAAATATATTTCGACGTCCAGATAAGTTGGAAAATTTTCTACGCGAAATCGAATCGATTCACAGTTTGATGCAAGACCGTTGTCATTGCCGCATTAAAAGTCCAGAAGAGCTATGCCGCTGAAGTTTAACCAAAAAAAAAAAAAAAAAAAAACAATCACAACTGCAAAGTAGCAAAGGGCGGGCAAGAAATTGGAAATGCAAGCATACTGCAAGAAACAAAGCAATGGAATTGCAGAGTTTTCTAACAAATTGGAAATTTATAGCCAACTCAACTCAACACAACTCGGACAAAATGAAATTCAATACACGTCAGGCGCTATGTTCGCCTGTCACTTGCAATGCTTGTCAGTGTTATTCATCTTCAACTTCACCGACTGCCCTGCACAATGTAGTACAGTTAATAAAACGTTCATTTTTCATCTTGTTGCTGGCGTACGCAAAACGGCCGGAATCGCAATGTTTAGCGCAGCCATTTTTGTCTTGCACCAATAGATGTTACGCAGACTTATTTCACACGTCAATTGTGTGACTTTGATTTTTTCTGCAATTCTCTTTTCTTTTGCATTCATATTTTTTCATATCTCCTTGCTATAGGCACCTTCGAAAAAAATCTTAAATGGAAAATTGAATGTCAATTCACGTCAATTGGATACCCAGCAATATTTGGTTATCAAAATGAACAGCGTGGAATCTGAAGAAAAACTAAAACTTATAAGTAAACAGAAAGCGCTTTAGACACAGAGGGTAAAATCTAAGTATCTACATTAGGGTGCCTCGCCAAAAAAATATTCCTGGGTTTTCCACCGAAATTATAAAATGTATTATATTTTAAAACGTTCGCCAAAATATTTCGATTTGAAAAGACCTACAAAAATCGAGTTTTCTAAATAAAATTATCTAGTTTCCGAAAATAGTATTTCCAAAAAATCTCCTCAGATGATAAAAGAGTTTAAACTTAAGACGTTTTTTTTCTGAAATATTTTGGCGAAATTCTTAAAATATAATATGTTGTATAATTCCGATAGAAAAACGGTAGCACTTTTTTGTATGTCTAGTGACGCACCCCAATGTACATAAATATATACATTATTTAAGGCATCACCTAGTCTGCAAAAGCTGTAGGTGGTTTGCAACTCTTAGGTGGAGGTTTAGAACAATACCTTTGTAGGTAACTTGCCTTACTTTATCTCAGTCGTTCCTCTTTTAATTTGAATCAGAATAAAGGAGAGGGTCACCAAGTTTAAAGGACAGTCGCCCAAGTACTTTCGAAATTCCACAGATAAATAAAGTCAGGACTAAGAGCTCCTCGGGGCTATTCAGAAAGTGCGAGCCGAGATGTTAATACCTCAAACCGCCAAAGGCTGTTTATATGTATACATATTTAAGTGAAGGTCTTGGGATGATTCTACCTAATTATGGTTGCACCAAGTGGGTCAGGTGGGCTCTTTAGTCTCACCAAGTGACTGTTCACTCAGTCAAAACCTATCAAAGAGTAGGAAGCTTTGTTAGACTTTGAAGCTGACTTTAGTGTGTGCGGTCCACTTTGTATCAGAAAAATCTTTGGTGTCTTTGGTTTTCGCTCAGCGCTCATTGAGCTGACGTGAGACCCAAGAGTAGTCCGCGGCTAGTCAAAGGTACTTCCATCTCTTTGTCGCCCGATGAAACCATCTCCAGGTTAACCTTTCTAACCGACTCATCCAGTATGCAGTTGCCTGATATATAACTGTGGACTGGCATTAATAAGCGTAAGTCTGACTAGGAAATATACTGCTGGAAGCGAAAAAGAAGTTAGGTATTTCAAGTAACAGTCATCTTTGTGTGAAACATAAGCCTGAAGGAAATTTCGCGACAGGAAATTCCTCCACCAACGATTCCATTTAGCTTCACCTCATCCTTGTAAAAGTCTTTCGCCTTATAACTCTTGCCCAACATTCACTCAACCTTATATGGTGCACTAGAATCAGTATATTGTTTAGGGCATTTTGAGCTTATAGTTCTTACCTAAGATTTCCCTGTTTTATCTGCTAACTTAGAACCCACCACCCAAACTTCGGTCCCTTATTTTACTGCACAGCTCACAGATAACTTGTGGTCGTAATGGTAAGCTCCCCTGTATGAGAACTATCCTAGTAGTGTTGGCCTTGTCGAAGTCTTCCTACACCGTATGTCACTTCACGTTACTAGATGAGGCCTCCGCTTAACCGCAGATACTCGAGCGGTTCTGAGTGATCCAGATTAAATAATGAAATACAGAAAACCTTAACAGGAGGATACCACAATCTGGCGTCTTCTCCGGTCGTTTCTAAGCTACACTTGTCACAGCGCTGCACTCCAAACAGCTACGAGATGTCTTCTGATATCGCTAGGATGTGATCCATATAACGGGGCTCAGATGCTTATAGTAAGGGGACATAAAATGCGACAGTTCTCGGTCTGCTGCGAGATCCTGAACTTCATAAAACTACCACTAAAACCGGCGATCTACATGGAGGCAATTAACCGGCATTCACAGAGACTATCACCCCCTTCACCAACTACCGCCCTGTGAAAGCTATCATCGGAGTTCAACCATAACTTAGTGCGCGGCGTTCAAAGTGAATTCATTTCATCAGTGTCATCTTGAAAGGACTGCCTTTTATTACGTCTTGTGAACTGGCTACGATGCACCAACGTACGGTCCGATCTCATTCCTATAATCCTTGGGTTGGCGCATACTTTTTGTATAATCGCCTCTGTGGGATTGCTGCGATAAACTTCTGTGATAACAGGGCATTGTGTTCTTTGTTGGCAGCATCTGGATGCCAGCGGCAAGGTGTTCATCTGCCTTTCTGGGGCGGTAGCTATTGGAATATATGTGTTGAGAGTCTAATTTATGTGGAGTTTTTCGCGAATGGTCAGTGATGTGTTACATACTATATTTTGCATGAATATATAAACTGATTGCTAAAAAATTTGTATTTGCTATTTTATTTTATCTTAGCAAAATCAGGAATTTCACAATTTAACCAGCTGTTACAGGTCCATTTCCTAGCAAAAGTTAGTAGTCGGTTTTTTTTTATTCCACACAGTTAACGCCCATTCTACTTCCTTTCAATATTTACTTGAAATTTGAGATAACTTTTCACACTTTATGTACATACCTACTGTCGTCAATGTTGCCTTCGATTTACCACAACTTCAGCGCTGACCAATCGTCAAATCTCAACAACAAACAACAAACTAAACTGGCCCTGATCTTTCATTCATTCTTCATTCTCGACAAGCTGGCATTCATTGCACCACCATCACCACCAACCGCCGAACTACTCAGCCGCTCATACTTCCTTCCTTCCGTTACTCGGACCATACTGCTTGCGCATCAACTATTCTTTAGCTGCTTAGTTTGTGCTCTGCTTCAATTGTGCCCGATGTCCGACAACTGCTGTGGCTGTAGTGGAGCGTTACAAGCAATCTTGTCGCTGATTGTCCATCTACAATTGAATTGTTGGTTTGTTGCTGTTACATTGTTTACTGCTACACTGCCTTAGTCACTCAAGTCACTCGATAGCAGTTCAAGCACAAAACACCGCAAACACAACTACAAACCGTACTTACCATGGAGCGCTGCAAGGACGAAATCGAGTGATGACCGAATATACCACTTCTGATTTTCTATTTTATTTTGCTACTCAATTTGTATGATTGCTGATGCCATTGTAGATTTTTTTTTTTGTATTGTTTTACTAAGTAAGGATTTGTTGTTTATTGTTGTACACAGTTGTTGGCGTTAGCTCGAGCTTTCTTCATGTGCCGCATTGACCGAGTTTTGTTGTATATCTCTGTTTTACTAACTCTCTCTTTATTCCACTTTTTTGTGAGCTTTCGTTTATGTACTGCAATGTGTTGATAATACTGCAAGTTTCTTGCTGTTTTTTGCTTTGCGGTTTTGAGTTTCTTTTTCCCTTGTTTTTGTGATACTAAGCTGGCAAAAAGTTGCTAGGAAATGCAATAAATTTTTTCATACTTTAGTAAGTAAGTAAATCAATCAAAATGCGATAACAAAAAAATCACATTTCAACACTTTTGACTTAAGAGTGCAGCGCAACAATAACTATTATGTTCATTTTCAAAGAAAAGAAGAAAAAGAAATGTTATAACCGCTTTGTCAACGACGAACGTCACAATTTCTTCAATAACTTCGTTGAAACGTTCAAGTGCTATACTTGTAATGCACTTTGGCAGCGCAAAAACACACCTAACCTCAACATTTTTGCAATCAAGCAGCACGGCAACAGTGATAAAAAAGTAGTTGTACCGTACCCGAAGGTTTTTTTGCACTTTGGATTTACATACATACATAAATACATACATACAATTAACACACTCTGCTCGAAACGAGGTGAGGATCTCTTTGGAGTCAGTTTAATAATGCAAAGATTTTATTACAAAGAATTATGCCTGAAAGGCAAAGAAACCTGGACTTATTAGTTAAATCAAGTTTGTCAGTCAAATGACATCTGTGTGGATTCCTCAACTTCCTACATTGTTTTATTAGGTGGGTTTGGTCAACGACTGAGGGAATGGACAGGTAGTCCATAGTCCTGCTTCCCACTCTAAACGTCGGGCTGGCATTCCGAAGAATGGTAGGTAGTTAAATAGGAATGGCTGAGCGGTGAGGAAAACAGACAGACAGACAATTTTCGAGTCTTGCGTGAGGTAGCGTCACTTCTGCATCATCTGTTAACACACAAAATTTCGTGAACACATAAACAAATAGTTAAGTGAGGGATACGGCTCATGCATAAGCAGTCGTAATTATGTGCGAATAGCGCTGATGTTTTTCTTCCAGTGGCAACTACCGCAACCAGGCAAACATAGCCTAAGCTAAACTAGTTTATATTATTAAGTACATTCTATCATATTCTATCCTAACCTGTCCTATCCGATGCTATCCTATCCTAGGCCTCCATTTTATCCTATCTTCTCCTGCCTTATCCTATCCTTATCATATTATATCCACTCCTGTCCTATCCTATTCTATTCTATCTATCCTATCCTTTCCTATACTGCCCTCTCCTATCCTAGATTATCCTATCCTATCCTATCCTATCCAATCTTAGCCTATCCTATCCAATCCTATCCTAATCTATCCTTTCCTATTCTATCCCCTAGGTATATTTTTGAACAAAACAGTTGCTTTTTTTTAATTTGTGTTATTTACTTAGTTAGGGAAACTTCCCATTTTACCTAATTATTTAGATACAACCTATTCTGAGATTCCATCACTGGTCAACACAGTCAATACAACGCTAACCAAGTAGCGCTTTAAGAAGCTTAAAAACGTGATGGCAATGCTACAGAGGGAGCTGAAAGTGAATTGTTATAGTGTGAAATAGAATTGTTTTTGTAGCATTTCTTACATACTACATATATATGTGTTCCTTGTCTATGCTAGTTGGCGACATAATGACTACATAGACTGTCTTTTCCTCTTAGAACTATTTCTTACTGGTTTCTCCATCCATTCGCATGTTTCTTTTTGCCATTTTCTTTACGCTTAATTTTTGTTCTTATTTTTATGAAATTGTAGTAAAACTTTTTGCACACTTATTTTTGTTATTGTTATATAATGGCACTTATGTCGTCGTCGTCGTCGTCACAGTCACTTGTGTTTTCCGCGTGCGGTGGCAATGCAATTTCTTAGTTCACATCCGTTACGAAGGAGTGTGTGTTTTTCCTTCACTCACTGATTCCACTTGCCGCCTTCGCTGGCTTGCACACATTTTTTCACTGTCAGTGTGCATTCTGAGTGCACTTTATATTCTCGGTTATTGCACTTGCGTGTTATTCTTCTTGTATTTTTTTTTTTTTTTTTGTATGCATTTTATCATGGAGAAGTGGCGTATTTTTCTTGTGATGTCTTTCATATTAAATATTCCGTCCTGTTTTGCCTTAAGTAGGCGGTAAGTTTCTTGTTATTTTTTAATGTTTTAAATATCCTCATTAAACTACTTGCAATTGTCCTTTTTATTAATAACTCTCGTTAGCTCTTACTCGTATCCACTTATATTCGCATTTCCGTCCGATTTGTCACGTCGCAATTGCCAAGATGATGCATTACATGCATATTTACTTAAATTCATATCTGTGGAGCAATTTTCCACTTTTTAAGCGTAAATGTGGAAGGACTGAAAACCTGAAAGCAGAAGGATGTGCACTTGGGTTAAACAACTGGCGCAATTTCACAAAGAACAAAAGAAAAGTAGAAGAAGAATGCAATGATAGAGACGATTGTTTCTGGTTAAGTAATTTTTACAAAACTTTCTTAACCTCCGACTTTTGCTTCCACCTTAACGGAACAAATTAAGGGGTCCTGGATGTATTCGGATAAAGTATTCGCGGAGATCTAAAGTAAATAGTCCTCAAGCAAAAACCCTTTTCACCGAAGAAGGGGTTTTCAAAGCACGGCTTATCATAAGGAAAGAAAGGCTTAATACATAAATCCTTAAGAGCCTTAAATCTTACCTCTTTCCTTCTCACGGTTCTGGAAAGACTACTAGACTTGCAGATACGACAGCATATTGATATTACTCTCTAGCTATCAGCATACCTACTGGAAAGCCTTTAAGGGATTTGCACAAGGCGTATTCCAAGATATCGAGCGTACCTCCAAAAAGGTTCTTCCAGCGGCTTTTCTCCGCACCCAAACTGGCCTTGGGCTGTGTCATCCGCTGGTAGAGTTTGTTCGTCGCCTGCTAGGCTGCAGAACTATATATTCGGATATGGGGCAGGTATCCGTAAGAAGATACGCAAACCACGGCACCCCTTTCCCTACTACTTTGGAATCCAAGGATGAGTACTCCGCTGGTACGGTTGGAGAGCACAGGTTGTCAGGTCACTACTTGCGCTGATCTTCTTGCCCTACCGGCAGTCCAAGTTCTATGGGACTTAATACAAGGCGCCTTACGCTTCGTGGAAACCTGGTCTAAAGGAGCAGTCTTTAGTGTCAATCCGACAAAAACGGTCATAGTTTTTTTTTCAAGGGAAACGAAAATTTCCCGGCCACAACTCTTACTTCCGTGAATGGTCTGGTGTTGCACTGACTTTTTGAGGGAAGTTAGTTATCTGGGCGTTAGCGCAGCAAAAAAGTTATAACTGTTCTGTACGCCTGTAAGTCATCCACAGGGAAAAAATGGGGATTCAAGCCATTCTGTTCTGCAGTATCACGGTTTTGTAGCCATTCTTATGTATATCTTAACTATGGATAGTACTGATCTGACGAAAATATCCCACGACGCAGCATCCATGGATAAAAAAATTAAAGCAAGGGCGGATACGAATACAAAGAAATAACTAGAGGGCACAAAAACTTCTCTACAACTGGTGGTAATAACTTGTGGGACTTCGCAAAATTGAGAAGCTACGACGAAGCTTTTTGGTATCGGCCCATACTGACAAACGATTGGAATTCCGAATAACTGTCGTCCCTAAATTGGAGGGCTAAGTGTTGCGTTTTCTAACGCCAGCGCGCGCAATAACTAAATAAACGCGTCAAAATGTTGACGTTTTCTCATTTCCTCTCGTTTTTAATCTCGTTTCTGCTTTAATTTTGTTTGTTCTCTTTCTACCTTCTCTCTGTCACCTGCGCTCAGCTTCAACCCGTAACGCCCTGTGAAAAATAAAAATTCCATTTGCTCGACCCTAACGCCGCGTTTTTGTGGGATGATTCATACAAATTGTATGGGTATGAGGATATTTGACAGCTCTTTGGCGCTGGATGCGCTAATTTAAGGGCGACAGTAAAAAGAGAAAAAAATTAAAATTAAAGGTCAACGATTCTAGCACCTACTGCGTTATGTTAGCAAATAAAGACACGAGACTGGGAAGACTACAGAGCCAAAAGCGCTTTTACTCCTCATAAGGCAAAACCACACGATTGGTGAATTTTTATAGGCAATGTACAATTTGACAATTACAGAGTGGTATTATTTGAAATTAGCTTAATGAAAAATTTCTAGACAGCACCAATCTGTGTCTGCTAAAATGGATACATTTGTACAAATGCATCAATCGTGTGATTTGGCCTTTACACAGATAATGAAGCGACCAAAAAATATACACATTTACAACTTAAACAAAAAAACGATTTATCATCAAATTCAAATTAATCATTCAAATTCAAGCGTAATTTATAAAATAACTATTTAGAATTTAAAAATTTGCAAAAAGCTTAATCGTTTTTTAATAGCATAAAAATTAGATTACTCCGATGAGACTAAAATATCCAACAGTCTTTAAAGAGCACTGAACAGAGAATGGCCGAAAGAGCTTATACTATAGCTTTAGTATTTATTATTTTGGTAATATATTCAGCACATGCAGGAATAAAGGTAAAACAATAAATAAATTAGTAAGCGAAAACTTATCTCAAAGCCCTTATTAAACTGTTTCAATTTGCCACCTTTCACAGCGAAATTATGCCATAACCTTGGATAGCGTAAATTATACCATCCACCAGCAAGGTTGGTTGAACGTCGAACAATTCTACTGTGGCAGCAATAGTATTGGCTTGAGCACCTTCACTTTACACTTACGTGTGCAACAAAATATTACAGAATTTCAAATACGTGATAATTTTTATATTTTACGCAAAGGAAACACAATACAGAATACAGAAGTAATTAACGCCTGTGACATGTTAAATGGGAATTATGGCAATGCAATGGTAAAGCTTAGCATACTGGAGCTGCATCAAGTGACGCGGCCAGTGTTTTTGTGTCCACTGATTGAGGTAAATATTTTTATTGATTTCTTAACACTATTTTTGTAGTATTTGTTTGCAAGTTTTTTGTGCTTTTGTATTAATATTTTTTTTTTTGCGTTTTGCAGAACACACTTTATATCATCACCAACTATACCTTGCGTTCCAGTGTATACCCACCATATTTACCTCTAATGAGTTACATTGAAATAATAGAATTCTCTATGGGTGGTGTACATTATTTGGATTTAATTTTTGAAGGTAGAGTTAAGAAAGCATAGAACATATTAATCGAGAACGACTTAAATATGAAAACTTTATCGATGAAGTACTATATAACAAATTGGAAGTTAATATTAAAAAAAAGCTACATTAATAAAGGAAGTGTTGTTCGGTAAAGAATACATGGAACATTCTACCTTCGGCAGATGTTTTCTATTTTTTTAGTCAGCTGAGTCACAAATTAATTAAATAAATTTTCTTTTTCTTTTTGTTGGCCTAAGGGATTTTTGTCTAGTTCAACTAAGCACGCCAGTCGTTTCTCTTCTGTGCCAACTGACACCTATTGGAAATGACAGGTGAAGCCAAGTCCTTTTCCACTTGGTCTTTCCATTACAGAGGCTTCCCTCTTCTTCTGTTACCAGCATCGCGGCTAGGAACGTTCCGATACATTCAAAGTATCGATACGTACTTAAATGAGTTTACGCAAATTGCTATTTCCATACGACTTATTTGAGTAAACCGAATGTATCGATAGCTACTTATATCGATAATTTTTCATCCTTTTATGTGCAACAAAGCTCAAAAGGTTGTAAAGCTCATATGCGTTCCATCGTCTGCGGTATTCACCATCGCCAAACGCGTAACGGCCCGTAAATCTTCCGCAAGATCTTTCTCTCAAACACTCCAAGAGCCGCCTCATCGGATGTTGTCATTGTCCCTGCTCCTGCGCCATACACCAGCACGGGCATGATGAGTGACTTATAGAGTGTGGTTTTCGTACGTCGAGAGAGGACTTGACTCCTGAATTGCCTACTCAGTCCAAAGTAGCACTTGTTGGCAAGAGTGGTTCTGCGTTGAATTTCAATGCTGACATCATCGGTGTTAATGCTGGTTTCCAAGTAAACGACATTATCCACTTTCTCGAAATTATAACTGTCAACAGTGACGTGGGTTCCAAGGCGCGAATGCCAGGAGATACTACGTCTTGTCCTCGTTTATCATCAGACCCATTCGCTTTGCTTCCTTTTCCAACTTGCAATAGGCAGAACAGACTTCGCCGTTCTTGTTACCGATGATGTCGATGACATCGGCGCACGCCAGCCTGTTGCTGAGCGGTTCAATTCTGCAGCTCTTATTCTCCAACATCACATTAAAAAAATCATAAGAAAGGGAGTCGCCCTGTCTGAAACCCCGCTTGGCACCAAGCGGCTCGGAGAAGTCTCCCAATTCTCGCGGAGCAGGTTGTATTGCTCAACGTCATTTTACAAAGTTGTATCAGTTTCGCGAGGATACCAAATTCACACAACTCCTTTTAGTGCTGTCGAAAGCGGCTTTGAAGTCGACAAATGGATGAGTGAGGTAGGATAGGTGAGTGTCGGTCCTATTCTCGCGAGTCTTTTTCAGGATTTTACTTTTGAGTGATTGTGAATACCTGCTCTATGGCGGCTTTGCCAGGTCTAAACCGCACTAAAAAGGCCCAAACATCTCGTTGATGGTAGGATTCAGTCTTTCGCACAATACGCTATATAAGGCCTTGTAACCTATGTTTAGAAGCCTTATACCACGGTAGTTGGCGCGAATGGCGGGGTCGCTGTTCTTGAGATCGGGCACAGAACACTCAAAGCCAGTCGTCGTGCATGCGTTCATCTGACCATACTTTGCATGAGAGTTGATGCATGCACCTTATCAACTCCTTGCCGCTGTACTTCAATGAGCTGGCAGGCCGTCAATTCTTACAGCTCTGTTGTTTTTCAGCCGATAATTGCTATTCGTACCTCGTCAAAGTCCGGCGGTGGAACATTGACTCCGTCATTACTGACTGGGTTTGTCTCAGAGCTTGCTGCGCTGACTAGACGTCCATCTTTCCAGCGGTAGACCGGATGTGTGAAATGAAGCCATAACACAAGCTTTACCCCAGTGCAGCCTAAATTTCACGTTGATGGAGAGTTTTTCGCAGATGACGCTTCCAATATTGGTGCAAAGTGGTTTAATAAGGTCGGGATCAAAGCTGTTAAAATTCCGTATTATATTGGCTGACGGAAATATTTTTTCACATTATATCGTGAATAACATAGTAAAATAGTATCAGACAAGTAATTTTTAGCAAAAAAAAACGACTTTAAAAAAATATATATATCTATATATTTCATGATTCAATGATCAGATCTAAACCAAATTAGTATGGGACCATCTCTGAGACACTACCTTTCCGATGCAGAAAGAATTATCGAAATCGGTTTACGTGGTCCAAAGTTATGCGGTAACATACATAAAAAAAAATATTCCGACGAACTGATAACCTCCTCCTTTGTTGGAAGTCGGTTAAAAAGTCGAAAATTTTTGGAACTTTTCCAAATCGTTAATATATTTTAGAATTCTAAGAATTTTCATACACAAGTACCATGAACATAAGAATTTTTCGACAATTTGTGATGTTTCACATCTTTACATTTTAGGATGGATTTAAGAAATTCTTTTACTTTTTTAGTTATTCGCATACAATAATTAAAAATTATTTTTTACCAAAGGTCCTATTTCGAACTTCGAAAGCCCATATCTCGATTTCGATTTGCTTATGACTCGAATCTCTTAAAAAAAAATGTTTAACTTCCTTCTTAACATAAATGAGAAGTATCAATCAATTGCAATTTTATATTATTTTAGTCGATTGCCAAAGGCCACACAATGAGATGTCAACGAATATTCGAAAACTTTAGTTTATACGAATAGATACTTACCTTCGCAGACTGCAGCGTATTTTGTTCACGGAATTGTTTCACAATAATAAGATCCACAGTACAAAACAAATCACAAATTGACAATCTACAGTGTTTTTCAATCAGCTGTAAATTTTTCCATATCTGGGGAAATTTTGCGAATGAACTGCGAGAAATGTACTAATTGATTAGTTCACAAATGGTGCTGAATGTATTTCCAAGATATATTTCGCAAGAAATATTTTCGTATTTAATATGGATATCTCACGCATCATTTTTTAGAGTGGAATATTATGAAAACGCATGTTACACAAAAACTGCTCAACCATATCTTTGGCCGAGTGTTGAGTCAACTCCACCGATCTGAACTTGCAGGAGGCAGGCTAATTCGATTTCAAACGCAACCCTGGAACCTGTTTATGATGTGTAGCTCAATCAATTTTTCAAGGGTATTTAAAAGAAGCGATGAGAGCCTGATTGCTGGGAAGTCCCGGAACATTCATGCACTAATGATAGGGCTGATAAATTACATAGTTACATTTGTTCTTCACAATTTTATGAAATACACAAGTTTTGGTACATGGTTCACGAAACTAACTGCCATTATTCATCTACGGGCCGCAGCCACACATAAATAACAGTATTTTGTGCTCTAATAAACCAACCAATATGTAAATTTTCGCAGATATTATCCAAGATATTATCAAAGGCCTAAATTTCATCCACTGCCATGAAGGTTTTACTCACAGCATTAAGTAGGTGCCAACACTTTTGGTCAATGCTTACTAATAACCCAACAATGCACAGATATTTACAAAACTTGAAGGATATGAAATTAGAAACAATAAACCAGTAAAAACTTAGGCAATAGCAACTGAATAACGCGCTTTTCACTTAAAACTTCAAAAGTCAACTTGTTACGGAACTTCCTGTTCCTGCAGCCACCAGCTGTTTTAATAAAACAGGGCGCCACAAATATAACAATAAATAAAATAAAAAATCTTATGAGCGGCGATCATAAGGAAATTTCAACCTTATGTATTTTGCTTGCAAAAAGTACAACGAATAAGTACAATTTTGTGCAATGCCTATCGCTCACTAGTGTTAAAAAAAGTCAAAACATTCTAATATGTTTATTAGACGAAAATGTTTATCATTCCTTTTTCATTTGATTCGCTCGCTACTTGAACGTGTCTCGCTGTTTGCGCAAACAAAACATGGTGTAAATCGGATCTGTATCGCCAGTGTATTGCTGCACATCCGGATGGTCGACACGCATAAATGGATTCCACAGTCTCTCCTCGCACAGCAGCGATGGCGGAGTAGGCAATTTATTTTCGCGTTGTTTCTGCGCCCAAACTAAACGTGAGTGAATATTTGAATTTTCAGGTTCCACAGTTTCGGCAAAACGCAAATTCAAAATTGTATTCTCATGACCGCCAAATACACGCGACTCTTTGGGAAGTGCACAGAAACGTTTTACGATGGCATACATTTGTTCCGGCGTGCCCTCATCAAAGCCACCGCAGCCACCTTGAAAGAGTGTGTCACCAGTGAAGAGTGCGGGCGGACCACCCGCACCGCACTCCACAAAATAGCAATAATGTCCGACTGTGTGGCAAGGTGTATGCATGCAGTGAATTGTCATCTGGCCCAGCTTTATTTTCTCATCACGCTTAATGCAATGATTTACGGCCTTGATACGCTCATCACCGGCACAGATTTTCACTTCCGGGCACTCGGTGGCCAATTCTGTTGTGCCCCCAGAATGATCCTCGTGATGATGGGTAATAAAAGCGTAGGAAAGTTTCATTTTCTCCTGTTTGAGTACATCAAACAGAATTTTGTTATCGGACAGATCGATGGCAGCTGTACAACCGGTGGGCAAGTCGGTTATCTTCAAAAAGGAAAATAATGAAAATTTGTATTATGTATTTGCAATGACGCCCCGCCGATTTTACCAAATACATGTAGTTGTTCTTGCGTGCGGGTATTATCTTTACTATCATACCCTCACAACGTACGTCCACAATTTTGCTGTGCAGATCAGGAGCAGCGGCTGCCGGCTTAGCTGTTGCAGTATCGGCCCACATACGACGCGCTCGCCACACTATCTTGCGTGAAATTAAGGTAAGCGCAATTAATAGATAATCCAAAATAATACAAACCGTTATTATATATATTGTGGGCTAAGCCACGCCCAAATAGTGAGCACATTTAATTCAGCTAAGTAATTTCTATCACGAAAATTTACAATTTTCAATGTTTAGGCAGAAATCACAAATGGTTTACTTCAATTTTTAATTCAGCTTGAATCATATTGACATAAATACATAAATTCACAGTTTGTTTAACACAATTCATTAACTTGAATTCCAAGTAGCAATAAAAATGAAGTGTGTAGTAATGTTAAGTTAGTTATTAAGAAGAAATGAAGATCTCTTATCTCATACTTGTTGAAAATTTACAAGAAATTCGTTAATTTACTGTGCTATTTAGCACTAAAAGTCCCAAAATCGTATGTAAATAAGATTCTTATAATTACTATACCCCAAAGCATGATAAAAACATAGTAAGGTAGAACCAAGGTGTATTAAACAAGGTGTGATTGACAACTCAGTGCGGCTTTTGGTTGCCAACATTTTAAACTCGTATAAGATTGAAAATAAAAAACTTAAATTGTTCAAAATTGTTGTTGCTTGAGATTGAAAGTTAAAATGTGTGTGTGCGAGTTTGTGAGTAAATTTTGAAATCGAATTGCTAGGAAACGTCAAGAATTTTGAAAGTGCCTCTCAGCGGTTCTACCTTACTAAATTTTTATCATGCCCCGAAGTAATATAAAGACTTCTATGTACATATATATAAACAACCAAACCAACAAAAGATACATAACCCTATATGTAAAAACAAAAATTAAATGTGCGCTTATTTCCACAGTACCACCATCATCAACAGCACTCTTTGTTCTCTTCGCCCTCATTTCCTTCCCTAAGCTTTGAAGTTGTCCTTTTCCCTGCGCAAGCTGCCCATAGTCTTAATGGGATCCTGTTCATTAGCATGCTTTTGCACATTGGCCTCGTGTACACGCATGAATGGATTCCACGACTTCTCCTCGCCAATGGTCGAGGGCACAGTGGGTGATTTGGTAGCGCGGCGTAACTTTGCCCATTCGATGCGCTTTAAAATTTTATCATTCAATGGTTCTACATGACGCGCATATGCCATATTCTGCAATGTATATTCATGACCACAAAAAACTTTAGTATCATCCGGTAAGGAAGACAATTTTTGGCACAATGCCGAGTACATTTGATCGGGTGTGCCTTCAAAGAAACGCCCACAGCCTCCTTGGAATAGAGTATCACCGGTAAAAACGGCGCGGTCATCAGTATTTGACGATTCCACAAAGTAACAAATGTGTCCTGTGGTGTGACAAGGGGTAAAAAGGCAACTCACTTTAAGGTTCCCAATCTGTATGCGATCATCTTGAGACACTTTTTGCGTTAGTGCACCAATGCGATCATCACCACCGTACACTTCCAGCGGCTTGCCATACATCTTAACTAATTTCTCATTACCGCCAGCATGATCCCAGTGATGGTGCGTGGTAAGCACCTTAGTAAGATGCACATTTTCAGCTTGCACAGCAGCTATAACACTTTCCGGATCGACCGGGTCAACAATGGCAGCCTCCTTGGTTGAGTTGTCGATAATCTAGAAAGGAAGCGTTACTTTCAGTAGTGAAATGTTTATTCATATACATATTTGCCCGCTTACCAAATACATGAAATTGTCCTGAAGCGCTGGCAATACCTTCACATGCATGGAAGCCCATTTTAAATCCTCCACAGAGCTATGCATTCTGTTTATACCAACTTTAAGTAACTTTTGTACTGCAAAAGAAAAAAAGACAGCATTTTAGCAAAAATTTTTGGTTCACATAATTACATATTTTATTATCTAATCTATGCAATCAAAAGTCTTAAATAAACAATCACTTTTGATGTCAAAACGTCGCAGCGACATTAATTCCGCGCTATTCCGCTTGATGTTAAGTGCATTTGCACTTGCACAAGCGAGCGGGCGTCCGCCACTGCACACACCTCGAAAATACGCAGCGGTCAGATTGCGTACAACACCCTGCTGTACGTTTCTCCAAGCGTTGGAAAGCATTTATTGTTATAAAATATGTACTACTACTTGATTTTGTGCTTTAATCTAGTTGTGTATATGTAAAATGGTATACTTTATTTTTTTTTTCTTTTTTTACACTATTGTCGCTGCTTTGTGCGCTTTTGTTTTGTGCTTCAAACACGTTTTATTTCAGACTTATTGCAGTTTTCACTATTACTAGTTTATAAAATAGTTAAGCGTGCAGAAAATTATTGAAATTAGAATGAAATTAAAAATTATTACTAAACTGTAAAAAAAAATTAGTTCCGTACTCAGAATTCCGATTAGATTAATTTTGTCGTTGCCGGACAATGAAGGAAATGAAAGTACTTGAAGTTGGTTGCCAAACATGCAACTTTTTACTTTAATTTTCGAATTTAGCTCATATAAAATAAATTACCAAACTATGCAAAATACAAGAAAAAGAACTAACTGTTATCAAAAGATTCACTTTTCCATGTGTTATCTGGGTTTTAGAAAATGTCTTCAATTATTTTGTTATTAAAAGGTGTGGCAGCGCTACATCACAACAGCTGTTTCTAGCGCTGCAATTATAGTGGATTTTTGCCATTTACGCAAGAATTCCTCAAATGAAATTCCTCTTCCGATGTAAAAACGATAGATGGCGCTTTGGTCTCAAAGCAAAACGTAGATAAAATTTCCTTTTCCGATTTCTAAGACAAAACAAACTTACTGCACTTCCTTCTTTTCAATACGATTAAATCCGGAATATTTAATAATCTTTTTTATTGTACGTTATTATAATTTTCTTGTTATGACTATGCATTCTCCGCATTCAAACAACTATTTACAACCGACTTCAAAAAAAGAAGGAGGTTATCAGTTCATCGGAATATTTTTTTTTATGTATGTTACCGCATAACTTTGGACCACGTTAACCGCCCACCCCTCAGGGGTGGTCCCATAGTAATTTTGTTTAGATCCGATAACTGGATCGTGAAGAAAGTAACGATAATCTTAAATTGGATATGAGAATTGAAGTCGGTTTTTTTGCTTAAAAATTATTTACTCACTCCCCCACACACTGCGCAAAGTGATTTGAAGCATAAACGTCGAATCACAAAATATTTTCCATATTTTCTTTCTGCACATTAATAACCCAATAAGTCACAGAAAATGTCCGATTCACCAAACGAACGCAATTCGAACTCCAAGTCGAATCTCATTGAGGTGCAACATGTTGGCGTTACAGCTAAACTTCAATCGCCGCTCAAGAATCTGCTGCAGTCATCATCTTCCTCGACAGAGACTGAAAATGGTCTGCTCTTCAACGAGCGTCATGGCCACAAACACAAGTACAACAAATTCTCCAATGACACCCAAGCTGACACGGAAACGGGCACCGAGAAGCCATCCAAAGTATTGTACGAAATGCGCGCTGTCCGTGAAACATCCACAGCTCATCCGGGCAAACGCAATGCGACGCCTTCGAAAATCGAATTCCAACTATATAAGACGGCTTCAAGACGTGCGCGTCGCACGAAAAGTACGCACGCAACTGGCGTGCAATGCAGCGAAAAGAAAAGCAAGCGCAAACTTTTCGCCGAACGACAGAGTGTCAGCGCCAAGAAAGCAGCTAGTTGTTGCACTTGCTACGCTTACAGCCCACACACCAAAGAGAACACAATCTTCCAGCGACTGCGGAAATCGCTAGATAACATGCGGACAGCGCGGCCGCACATCTCTAAACCGAAAGCGCCCAAATGCAGTGAAATTTTCATTGATCTACCCGAACCTTGCACCAGCAATACGCAACAGCGCACGAAGGCGGACGAGGGTAAGCAACCAGAGCGGGATGTCACACCACCGCCAGCGCGTGAGACGCGCATTGGCATCTATCCCTTCGAACATGGCTGTGCGGAATATTTACGCACAACTGATTGTCATCCACAGATACTGTCCGTAGTGCTGGCCGAACGTGCCACCTACTATGCGACGCGCTTTTGGGCGGAATTCTTCGGAAGTTTACACATAGGTGTCACTTTTGTGGTCACTTTTCTGCTGCAGGCATATCGTTTTGTGCTCTACTCGCTTGTGAATACGCTGGTGGTGGGATTTCTGCATATGACTTCAGATTATTTGATCAAACCGATTTTGACAGTATTCTTCAATGGGTTTCTACAGCCGCCACTTATACTTGTTTACAATATCTTGACATCCATTCGTGATATCCTGGAGCCTGTGGCTGATACAATCAATAATTTCATGCGGCCAGTGGCAACGGTGGGGAAGAGTTTACGCCTGGTGCATGCCAACTACAATACTAAGAAGTTTGAGAAGGAGGTTTGATAGAAGGACTACTTGAAGTAGGAATTTGTTTTGCCAATTTTTATACTGAAAAATACGGCAAAATATATTCAGATTTATTAGCTTTAAAGAAATTGCTAAATAAATTATATTTATTCACATGGTATTCAAAGCATATTTGAACTTTTTTTCCTTTTTTTTATTTTATAAAATATATATGATTATGATGTTATTTAATGATTATTCATTTCCGACCAGTCAGTGTTCCATTCTCAAATATTACTCTACTTGAAATTGTCAACCAAACGAGGGCGGAGCCTTTTCAACTGTTGGTGTGCGAGTCTATCAACAGGAACATCAACCCTCAGTCGAGGGGCACATACATATGTACATAAATATACATGCAATACATAACAACTCACATTCATACTTCAAGCAAAACCCATCCTAAATCCCGTATATAATTTCTGCTTGCCTGCCTGACACTTTACCCCTCCTGAACGCACTTCTGAATTTTACACAAAATTGCCTCATTGCGGTGTCAAATGACAATCAAATGAATTTCAGGCAAAACGCACACCACTGCATTCATCCACATATATGTGTATACATACATGCATACACATAAATACTTCATCTGCTATCGCTACACTATGGATATGTCCTCGCAAATCTTTTTTTTTTTTGTTAATTTTTTGCCCTCCATCATTATTTGCCGCTACAACATCCGGCGCAAAGCAACCTTATGAAATTATTAGTGTTTGTAATTCTACTGAAATTTAGCCACAAATCACAACAACGCAGCTTGCCGTTTATGTAAAAGAAGAAAAAACGTTTGGTGTAATGATTTATTTTGCTCTTTTCGTTGCCTACCACCAGCCGTTTACGCTAGATGCATACTTTCTACCGCCTCACGTCCTTTTCTTTAGAAAAGCTTTAAGGGGGGGTTGAGCTCGGTTGATAAGCACTTCTTTGTTGGCTGTTCCTAACATACTGTGACACCAGCAAGCAAGCAACATATGCCAGCAAGTTATCGCTCATTGATTGAAATAATTACCTCCCCGGAGAGTTGTAAACGTTTGTGTGGCTGTAATTTAATTTCGGTGCCATGCTTTGGGTAGAATGTGGTATGTAGGAATTACAGGAGCTCTTGTGCTGATATTTTACTTTAATTTAAATAAATAAGATAACGGGTTGTCAGACACCTCATTTCGCACATGGAGAACACAGGTGTATGAGAACTTATTATGCCTTGGTCACACTTAGCGAGTAAAGTGGCAATATAATAAGATAACACTGTGCCGAAAGAGTTGTGTGGGCGAGTAACTGTTTTTACGTATCGAATCAGATTAGTTTTGATGCAGTGATTGATTGAAATGGATTGCGCAGGACGAGATTATAATATAATTTTCCTTTTCTCATTTTTAATGCAAACACAAAAAATACACAAAATAAACTAAACTGCGAGAGCTTCGTCAAATATGACGAGCGAGTGCGTGAATCGCTGTGGGAGGGGTGAAGAGGGAAGCGGGGAAGTATTTTTGTGATCATACTGCAACTGACTTTAAGCTTTGAAGGCAATTTTAAAAGTCAAGGTAATTATTTTCTTCAACGAGACTACATTTGCTGAATTTTCTATCTCAAAGGTTTTAAAATTCTGAGCGGGGTTTAGGTTCCGTTCAACGGTTCGAGAATTAAAAAAATCTATGTGTATTTTTCTTATTTTTCTAACCAAAAATTGGTCTAAACGAACATTAAACCTTTATAAAAACGGGTTATGTTTTCGGTTCGGATCAAATATTTGTGAAAAATTTCGGTTCTGCGCCTCTGTGTTCTGTGTGGTTCGGTTCTAATAAGTAGAAAAAGCCGCTCAATCCCACTCAAACCCGATTCACGTCTCTGGTACGAGTAATAACTACGTATTTCTTTCGCCACTCCCCTATTATACTATTTAAGACAATAAAAGAAAATTATTTTAAAAATAAAGTGCGCTTCAAACCAAAAGTAATGGTAATAAGGTCCAGAGAACGGCCCCAAGCAGTTGGTAGGCTTAAATTTAAAAAGCCATTTTCCCAATGTCAGGCAACCTGATTTCTTACTTCACAACGTACATAGTGTATATGTATGAATGCATGTATGTATGCATGAAAGTACTACATATCCCAAATCATAATTTTGACTCTGGGATGCCTGGCCACCAAACCAGAAATTCTCTGGCACCATATGGCGTTTGAAATAATTGTTCAGTCAAATAAATTTCACAGGTTTTTACAACTAATTAGGCACTTGCCTATCAACGAAACCAAAAAATACGACAACAACAACAAAACATATGGCATGCAGTCTTGAGAGAAATGCTACAAACGAAGCGCCATGACTTCGGAAACCAAGCATGAAAGTACATAAACGTTGGTATGTATGTACTTCCATATGTACATTAGGTTGCCTCCCCAAAAAAAAATTGTAGATTTTCCAAGCAAGTTAGCAATAAATGTAATAAGAACACTTTTGCAAAAAATAGGATATATTTAGAAATCCCATATTTGCGGTCAGCTTTTATTCATATTCGAAACGTCTATGAAGAACCTACATATTGAAAAATACTTCGGTACTTTTTGAAAAATGAGTTGCCAAATGGCACTGAAATCGAGATATATACAAAATAATGATAAGAAATGCTTCTGTAAAAAGTGGACCCATTAGATGGCGCTGGAGTCGAAATATTTAGAAACCTCGTATTTATGGTCGCTTTGGGTCTATGTTGATGTAGTACGAATTTACTTTTTAGATAGCTAAATAAGGGATGCAATATCTGTCCATTCAGATATCCTAGGCACGGGTCACGCGTGCCATCCAGGTGGCAGCACGAAATCTCGCTCAAAGACCTACACAGAATAAACTAGTCTTTATATTCTATGGCAGTCAGGCAGCTCTCAAATTTTTACAGTCACTTAGACAATGCAAACTCCCTTACGGATTGCCGTACATCTATTATCTGGTCTGGTCTATAAATCTGGTTATTAAATGGAATTGCAGAAGTGACGAATTTGCAGTGAAAGAAGACTTTAGGGATATGAATGGCCCCATTTGCATGATGTTTAAGAGATCGCACGGCTGTGTAATATGAACTTTTAGAACATTTTTTATGTTTGCAGTTATTGCATGGCTTATAAAATTTGAGTGAAATAAGTGCAAGTTCTAAGCGGATAAAAGATCGCATTGATTTTTTAATAATATAAACATGAATTTATTTTGGAAGGAAATGCGCAAAACCGTTGGCAAAAAAAAATTAAAAAAAACAACGCAAGTTTTATATAAAAAATCCGCTTAAAACTTGCACTTAAATTTTCTACTAAAGTTTCATAAGCGGTGTATGTAACTACATACCCAAAATTTTCTAAAAATTCTGATTAAACAGTTGGAAATTTTGATGAAAATGTGTTGAGTTTTTCTAAATCTGTATAAAGTTTTAAAGTTTGATTTGTAGACTTCTAAACAGTATTTGAACGGATTTGTAAATATTTTCTCAAATTACTGAATCGATCGAGTTGAAAGATAATAATAATCTCTTCTTTAGTACACAAACGATTTTTTATTTAGATGTTCGGATATGCAAAAAATCCGTATAGCCCAGCCTTAATACATATACATACACACATACATATAATCATATATATTTGGATTTTCTGTAGGTATATTTATTCAGAATGATGCGATTTTTAGTGCAATACAAGCGCTATTTTTTCCGAAAAAATTACATCGACGTCGACAATCATAATAGGGCCGAATAACTCAGCCATATTTTTGGCCGATTTGCCTTTCCGACGTTTTATCAGAAAGAAATGCAATTCTTATCGCTACTAATTTTGAGCTATAGTCAAAAATATATTTTATGATTCCGTTAAGAAAATATGAAAATTTTTCTCCCACAGCCAGCGAATCATCCTAATGTATACACATAGCCTTCGAAAGGGGTATAAACAAACTAACAAAAACAACAAGCAACGATAATTTAGTTGTAAAACGACTCCTACGCGACGAAACAGCGGTCCACAAGCGCGTTGCCAGGGAGTTGCAGCGCTAGGCAACAGCTTGATGCATGCAGTGATTTATGTTGGGGGTGGAAGAAGAAGGTGGCGATGTGACATGACGCTGAGCACGGCTAATATAGACTTTTGGTGTCCACTTACATGCATTTCCTATCCCCTTGCAGTGGTAGTTGTTTTTTTTTTAATTTGTACTTTTTAGTTTTGAAATCAAAGAATTTGTGAATACTTAGATTAATTCATAAAAAACTATTTTTTATACGACTACAAACCACTAATATGTAATTAACTCTAATTGTATTCAACTCCACTGAGAGTAAGTGATTGATTGAGAGGGTTGAGCAGAGGGCACATTTATGCTATGGTTCAATTATAAAAAACCGCTAATTTTGGGCGACTGTACATATGTATACATGCCTGCGGTGTGATAAATTATGCCTTAGGGAAGTACATAGTGGAAGTGCTAAAAGCGAAAAAATATAAAATAAAAAAGTTACGGTCTGCAGAGAAAACTCAGCGAAAGGCTTTTCAGGAAACAGGAAATTGTGACATTAATCTTCGAAACGGGAGATTGTTAAGATATGGCTAGCTGTGAAAAAAAACCCAAAAATATAAGATATCGAAAGTAAAATGTATTTTGTGATCACTGATTTTCAAGAAGAAATATTTCTGCACATTAATCTGCATCTTTGCATACAATATAATCCAGTAGCCAAAATACTTCCACTTTCAGCCTAATGATAGCTATCAGCACCACAGTTATTTTCATTGTGAAACGAGAAAGTAACAGCGTAAGCCATGTCTGCAAAGTAATAGATTACGGCTCTTATTTATCAGCTCTACTTTAAGACTGATCGAGCGCTCTGATTGCATTTTTCACTTTTCAACTATTCAAACTCCTTTCAGCGCTGTTTGTGTAGGTAGCGAGAACTTAAGTTTTAAAGAAATTTTACTTGTCATCTATTGAGTTGTCAACGACAATCGGTTGTTGGCCAT